TAATTAACACATTTTATTGGATGAGATGATTTATGTATTGAAGGTTCTTTCTGCAACATATTTGTAATTAAAAAAAAATTTGTAGCCTTATTGCTAATCGTGATTAAAAGGCCTACTGGTTCTTCATTTTTGTCTGATGCAATATAATTATTTGTTCTGTAGTTGGTGATCCCACTGTAAACAGTTCCACTACTAGAAATTTGCTGGTAGATGTGGACTTGCTTCCTTATATGCTTTTCCTCCCAATTATTTGCATTCTTTTTATTGGATTGAGGTTCTTAGAATAAAATGTTTTGAAATTAGTACTCTCTTCAACTCTCACTGATTTTTATTCGATTTCTAATCCCATAAAAATATCAAACAAGCTAGGAGGTCATCTGTGCTCTAATGGGTCTAGTGCTAGATCAACTAAGAGTCTTTTAACAACAAACAAACTAGGAGGTTATCTGTGCCCTATTACTAGTTTGGTAGCTCAACTAAGAGCTTTGAATGATGAGCAATTTAAGAGATTTTTGTTCATCATGCTATATATTTTAACACTTTCAGCAAAAAGGTTTTTACTTCTCTTCTTATAATCATTGTATAACAACTTTGCTTTGTTACACCTTTTTACTTGTTTACTGTTCATAATCAACTCAAGAGACTTAAGATATGTGTCTATTTTGAGTTTGAAAGGTTTCTCAGTAGATTTATTTAAAAAATCCAAAATACCCCAGCACTTAGAATTTTATTTGAAGTAAACATGAACAGGTATTATAAAAACGATTATTTTTAAAAGAACTTTTTTTGTTGCTTTCTTTTTTTAATAGATTTGATTGATAAGGTTTAAAATTTTTTATTCAATTATGATCATTACCAAATTAGAAGTTTGTCTATTGTCAGGATTCTTTGTCCCTCGACAACAAATAGACCAGCCTATTTTTGATTTCCTTTTTAAAAAAGTGTTTAAAACACAGCAATTAAAATAAAGGTTAGGGTTAGTTAGAGATTAAAGATCTGGCAAGTATTATAGGTAAAATTATATTTTTAATTAGTGCTTCAAGTTTAGACACTCGTTTCTTGTATTTTTTAGTTCTTTTTTCTTTTTTTTGCTTCATAAAAATTACTATGTGATTGGAAATTTATGCTGATTTTCCAAAA